CTACCTCCTACATGCTACATTTCATCAACAGCTTAGGAATTATAAAGCTCTGCCTTGATATTCCTCAACGCAGCTACTACATCATCATACTCTGGAAGTTTTGGGTGCACATGTCTTGGTCGAGAAGAATTCTGTTTTGGTGCTATAATTATACCCATTGAACCATCCCAAGCAACATGATCTTCCACTAATATGCTGCATTTGACATCCTTCAGTTGGGCTGCTACATCAGCATACTCTGGAAGTTTGGGGTGCCCATGTCTTGGTGTAGAAGAATTCTGTTTTGGCGCTATACTTATATCCATTGAACCATCCCAAGCAACATGATTTTCGGCTAACATGCTGTGTTTGACATCCTTCAGTTGGGCTACTACATCATCATACTCTGGAAGCTTTGGGTGCACATGTTTTGGCCTGGTTTCCATTGAACCGTGCCAAGGAACTAACATTCTGGAATCATTCTTTTCCAGCAGTTCCTCTGTAGAGGAAGGGCAACATTCAATGGCAGGTTTTGCGGAGATAGCACTTGTGTCCACGGATTTCTGATCAGTAGTCATGTTTTTCTTCTCTTCCAAGTCATCAAGATAGACGATGGATGTCTCGTAAATAAGATCAGATACACTATCCAGGGAAGTACTAGTTGATAATGGTCTTGTAGTACTTTCAAGAAAATCCTCACGAGGTAACATAATTGGAAGCTCAGTAATATGAATGCGACTCTCATCATCAGTATCACTGGAAATACCCTGGATTTCCAAATCCAAAACTTCAGCTTTCTCTTCAGAATCCTGAAACCCCATATGAAGATTGTCATCTTTAGCTATTTCAGCAATCAAATTCAGCTTCACATCATCTGAAACAAAACCCATGCAGAGGTTCTTCTTCATCTCCAAGTTTACACCATTCCCCAACTCCAACTCAGGACCAAAGCGTTCTCGGAACAGAATCCGAATCAAATTCAGCTCTGGCAATTCACCACATCTTGAAGCCGCAAACATTAAACTCAACACAGCTTCTTGAAAATCGGTAGGCAACAACAACCAGGAACCGATATTCTTTACGTGGCACATGTTGTCCAAAACGAGTTCGGAAAAATGTTGAATCTGATCATATGCGCACAACACCTTTTGGTCCTTGTACAGCTGCGCAACCCTGTCTAAGGCATCTTGAATCCGTCCATTGTGGAGGAGCAGCGCAATGTCAGCACGAGAATGACTTATGATGGACTGTCTCCTCTTCCTCTGAATACACATATGAGCTTGAAGTACCTTGACTAGATTCAAACACTTTGCTGCTCTCTTCCATCCCGAAGCACTGCTCCTTCCAACCAAAGAAAGATGCCATTGGAACCACATTATTTCAGTAACTCAAATGCTGAATCTTGAGAAAAAAAAAAGTTTGTGGGTTTGTTAATTTATTTATAGAGGAGAGAATTGGAATGATAATTCATGTTTAACCTTGCCAAGATAGTTTTATTCCTCCCATAATTTGAATTTTGAAC